TTCCAAACATTGCCCTGTGTCCCCTGGACATCAGAATCCCCCGTATTTGAGAGCCCCTGTTCTAAGCACTTTAAAAAGATCAACATACAGAATCCTCACAAAAACTTAATTGAAATAAGTCAAAGGGTTGAACAAGGTCTTCACCAAAGATTTTTCAAGTGGCCAAGAAAAGATGCTCATCTTGTTAGTGATAATGTTTAATAACTTCATTAGTTATCAGGAAGAGGTAAATTAAAGCCTCAGTGAGATTCTGCTTCCGTCTGCTGGGACAGCTAAAATGTAAAATACTAGCACCACTGCCCTGATGACGTAGTGCAGCGGAGCACTCACACTGTAGCAGGGGTGAAAATGCTGCAACCGCTTTGGGAAGTTGTTTGATTCTCAGCTATGGCTGAGCCTGCAGCGCGATGCCACAGTTCCCCTGCGCAGTGAATAACCGAGAGAATTGCGTGCTTATGTCCACCACAGATTTGGACTGAAATGTTAATGCGGTCCTGTTTGGACAAGCCCCAAACTGGAAAATACCCAAATGCCCATCAGCATTAGGACAAGCGTGCTGCTGGTAGTCTGTTCACACGGTGGAATCAGTTACCTGTCAATTACAGAGGGTCACATACTGCGAATGCTGTCACTAGGTGACCATGTCACTCTCCAAATGTCATAGGGTGCAGTTACACAAACCCCAATGGGATAGCCTGCTACACACGTATGTGGTATAGCCTGTTGGGACCCCTGTCACCTCTGTGGTCCGCTATTAGCTGAAGTGTCGTGGGACTGTGCTGTACTGCAATGAGAGAATGGACCGTGATGTGGCAACCTGGAGGAATCTCAGAAAAGTGACTCTGAGTAGAAAGAAGAGCAAACACTCTGATTTACTCAGGCTGTAGCTAAAAAACAAAACCTGGTATAACTAGTCTGTGCCATTGGGTCTCTGAGGATAGTAGTTACTCTTAGGTGGGGTTGGTGAGTGACCAGATGTGGGCCATCTTGAGACCTGGGGGGGTAGTCTGGCAATGCTGCTATAGAAATATGGTCCTTTCTTGGTGTGGGGTCAGGCACTGCCAGATGCTAAGGTTGCAGCCTGCTCATCTCTTACTGCTGAACCTGGGGGTGCCCTTAAGGAACTCTGGATTTGGGGTGCCCCTAAGGAAATATATCCTGGTCGTGTGGGTTCGATCTGAAAGTTATCACACTGTCCATTTAAGAGCCATGTCCTTTTTTAGATGCATATTATATATTGATAAATCTTGAAAAACTGAAACAGGTATACCTGTAGGCATACCTCATTTTATTGAGCTTTGCAGAAAATGCATTTTGTACAAAACCTACCAGCAAAAGGATTATAACACGCAGAAGGCTCAGGTAATGATTCTCATTTTGTTAGCAATAAAGCATTTTTTAGTTAAGGCATATGTGTTCTTTTATTTTAGTTAAGGCATATGCTACCACACATGTCATAGACCCTAGTATAGTATAAAATATAATTTTTAGATGCACCATGAAACCACAGAAATTGCTTGACTCTCTTTATTGCAACATGTTTTACTGTGGTGGAAGGCAACTAAACCCACAATATCTTTGAGGTGTGTCTGTAATCTACTGATGGAGAAACTGAGGTGTCTAGAAATAGAGGCCAAGATCACACAGATAAGAAGTGGAGGAATGTGGGCACAAGCCGGCCCCAGGGCTTTGCTCCTAACAACATAATCCTGCCTCCTGTTTGCCCTGGCAGAGTCGGCCATGGAGAGAGACCGCTACATGAGTCCCATGGAGGCCCAGGAGTTCGGCATCCTGGACAAGGTTCTGGTTCACCCGCCCCAGGATGGTGAGGACGAGCCTGAGCTGGTGCAGAAGGAGCCTGTGGCAGCAGCGGTGGCGACAGCAGAACCTGCCCCAGCAAGCACCTGAGAGCTGGACCTCATCCCCCAGAGGAAAGTTGAGGGGTCAGGCACTGCCAGATGCTAAGGTTACAGCCTGGCCACCCCTCGCTGCTGAGCCTGGGGGAGCCCTTAAGGAACTGTGGATTTGGGGGTGCTCCTAAGGATGAGTATCCTTGCTAAGACACTGTGATTTTAAATTAAATCTTTGTAGTCTTTCCTCCCCGCCTCTGGCACCTTCCCTCACTGCTCCGCCACGGTATTACCGTGAATGCCCTTCACCAAGCCTCTTCTGCTTTCAGCCTGACCCCAAGTTTCTGACCTTCAGCTTCCTAACTTCAGCCCACTCTACATGTTCTAGAGGTCGCAACAGTGTGAAGACAACATGGAAAGCCCTGTCCTCAAGGAACTTATTCTTGTCAGGGTTAACCGTTAAAAAAAAAATCACAATATGTGTGTGACAGTTTTAGTTGTGGTTCCCAACAAAGCCCTTACTGACAAGGTGACACTTGAGCAAAGACCTGTGGCAGTAAGAGATGAAGCCATGTTGGTATTTTGGGTCAGAGCAGTCCAGGCAGCAGGCATAGCCAATGCAAAGGGCCTGTGGCAGGACTGTGCCTGACGTGTGGGAGGAGATACCAGGGGACTGCGGTGGCTGGAATAGAGTGAGTACAGAAGATGAGAACAGAAAGGAGATACATGAGGGGTGCAGATCTTACAAGGTCTAGTAGGTCTTAATGAGAAAGAAAGTGCACCATGGGAGGGTCTGAGAAGAGAAAAGAGAACAGGGTAATTATGGCTCCCAAGTGGGGGTGGGTGGAGTATAGCAAGCCCAGAAACCTGGAGACCAGTAAGGTTGCTGTTGGAATAATCTAGAGAAAGGCTGATGGCCCCTGCCAGGTGGTAACAAGAGGTCAGATTCTAGCAAGGTTGTAAAGGCAGGGATGATAGGTGGGATGTGACATCTGAAAAATTATTTCCAAAAAATATTGGCCCAAATAGGGAGTCATTAACCGAGCCAGGAAAGGACCAGGTCTGAGGATCAGAGGATGATTTTAGACACATACCCTTTTACGTGCCTCAGACAGCACAGAGGATGAGCTAAGTGTGGGGTCAGGGTTAGGAATAAAAATGTAGGCAACGTGAGCCAGTCAATGAATTAGCGATCAGGCTGAGGAGTGACTTGGCTCTGGCACGGTGGAATCACCCGCAGTCTTGAAAGGAGCACCTCCAGTACTATAGGCACCAAAAGCCAGACTGGAGCGGAACCAGAGAGAAGGCAGGAAAATGGAACTAGACAAGTCTTTCTAAGAATTACACTATAAAGGAAAGCAGAACATGAGGCTGTCACTGGAGAGAAAATCAGGGTCAATTTTTTGTTTTATATTTTCAATAGGGAGGACATTTTTACTTATCAGTTGCATTTTGTTTGAATTTTTCATAAGCACTTACGTACCCTTAGCACTATTTCAGTAAGTCCCAATTGATGGCCAATGGGGATTTGTCCCTCCCTGTGCCCCACAGTCCCAGATTACTTTGAAGCAAATCACAGCATTCACTTCATGTAATTATTTCAACATGTATTTCTAAAAGGTTCAGGGATATTTAAAAGGACACCCACAATACCATTTTCAAATCTAAAAATAACAGTAATAACTTACTATGGTCAAAAGTTCAACCAATACCCAAAAATTTTTAGTGTGTTTTGTGAAACTCAAGACAGAGAAACTATTTAAATGAAGTTGGGAAGCTAGAGGTGGGCCGAACACTTGCAATTAGCAACATAGCGCACAGCTTGTGTCTCGAGTGGGAAGTGATGCTGCCCCCTCACCCCAGCAGAAGGGAGTCATGGGCAGAGCAGGAGCCAAGGCTGTGGAAGGGACCCCTGGATTTAGTTCTAGTGCAGTGCACCTGCATATTGCCATGAGGTTCACTTTTCATGTTACCTATTATTTCCGAATAAGCCCATTTTGTTGGTGAAATAGCTAACTGCTTTTCGCTGAGGTCAACTTCAAATCAGGACCCAAATAAGGAGCAGCCATTGCTGTGCAAATAGATGTCTGCTGTAACTATACACTTACCCTTATTCTTTCAACCTCTCCCTCTTCTGCTCCTTGAAATTCCCATGTTGGAGGAACACGAACTTGGTTTTGTCGCATTTGCCACTGATGACTGGAACCTGAAGGGTTGCAGCACCTGCCCTCGGTATTTCCTGTGACTTGGTGCATAAACCTAGACAGTCTCATCGGGTTCAGGCTCCGCTTTTTGGCCAGCTGAGGGGGTGTACCTCCAGCAGGAGGCACAGAATCCAGTTGGCCCTTTTATTCCCCACGAAGTCGAGAATCCTTTTCTAGTGCCCCAATATTCCAATAAGGGCTGCAAAATGGTGTTATGCCATTTCTACCATTAAGAGGGTTTTGCTCGTTGTTTTCTTTATAAGGTGGGAGCCCGTCTGGGTGCCGGAGGGCCTGATTCAGCAGAGGGGGAGATGCGTGATGCAAACTCGACCACACGCCCTAACACTAGCAATGACAACGCTTTCTTGACCTCTGTGCCTTTCATCCCTTCCCACATCTGTCTGGCTGCACTCTACTGTCAACCTTAGGTTATGGCTCTTTTTCTTCCCCCCTGTCGCGCCATGTGGGACTCTCCCTGGCCGGCCGGGAATCGAACCCGCGCTGCAGAGGCTGCGGACAGCTTCACAGCGCGGCGCTCAACCCGCTGCGCCACCGGGGAGGCCTACGTTACGGGTCATTTTTAACCCCTCACACCTGACCCCAGGTCAAATACAGGCTTCTGGCCGCCCCCACGCCGTCCGGAAAACGGGCGGCAGCACGACCGAAAGTCTAAGCTCCTGGGCTCTGGCGCCCAGTAGCGCGTGGGAGGGGGTGGGCTCTAGGGAGAGCCAATCAGTAGCTAGGGGAAGAGGCGGGCTCTAGGGAGAGCCAATCAGTAGCGCGGGGAGGAGGCGGGCTCTAGGGAGAGCCAATCAACTTGAGAGGGCGAGCCGAACACCAGCCAGTCAGCAGCCCTGAGTAGGAGGCAGGTCTCTGAGGAAAGCCAATCGCTGGCGGGACTCGGCGCAGCCACAGCCAATGGCTGTGCCGCGGGGGTGCGCCCTGACCCCGGCAGCTTCCACGACCCGGCTGGGGCTATGGCCGGGAGTGGGCGGCGGGCGTTGCGGACGCTGCCGGTGCCCGCCTGGGTGCGGGGCTCGGGCTCGACCGTGCTGAGCCGCCTGCGCGACGCAGCCGTGGTGCGGCCGGGCTTCCTGAGCGCGGCCGAGGAGGAGACGCTGAGTCGCGAGCTGGAGCCCGAGCTGCGCCGGCGCCGCTACGAATACGATCACTGGGACGCGGTGAGGCCGGCGGGGCGGGGCCTGGTGCGCAGGCGCCGGGGGGCGGTGCTTAGGCTAGGGGCGGTGCTTAGCCGCTAGGGGCGGTGCTTAGGCTAGGGGCGGTGCCTAGGCACTAGGGGCGGTGCCCAGGCACTAGGGGCGGTGCCTAGGCACTAGGGGCGGGGCTATGGGCGGGGCTTAGCCGCTAGGGGCGGTGCTAGGCGCTAGGGGCGGGGAGTGAGCCCCGGGATGGGGCGGGGGCACGGCCGGGGCGGAACCTGGGGGAGGAGAGCTGGGTCTTGAAGCTTGGGGGGCACTGGGGACTGAGAGCGAGCTTGAGAGATGAGAGCTGGGTCCAGGGGACTGAGGCCTGACCCAGATGGAAGCGCGGCAGAGTCCGGCATAAATAGGGCCAAGGCTGTGAGTTGAAGGCGTGCTGGACCGGGAACCTCGGGGCTGCGCCTCCAGAGTGTGCTGGCGCCCCCCTTCCAGTCCCTGGAAAACCGTTCCTCAGCTCTGCACTGTTTCCTGCCTGCCCACCCCCAACCCACACTCCAGGCTTGACCTGGGTTCTCTGGGCAGGCCATCCACGGCTTTCGAGAGACAGAGAAGTCGCGCTGGTCACAGGCAAGCCGGGCCATCCTGCAGCGCGTGCAGGCGGCCGCCTTTGGTCCTGGCCAGACCCTGCTGTCCCCAGTGCACGTGCTGGACCTGGAACCTCGGGGCTACATCAAGCCCCACGTGGACAGCATCAAGGTGGGCAGGGGTCAGCGCCTTGGAGCTCCCAGCTAGGGGCTGAGTTGGCCGGACGAGAGCCTGACTCATCACCATGCCCCCTCTTCCAGTTCTGCGGAGACACCATAGCCGGTCTGTCCCTGCTGTCCCCCAGCGTCATGCGGCTGGTGCACACCCAGGAGCCCGGGGAGTGGCTGGAACTCTTACTGGAGCCAGGCTCCCTGTACATCCTTAGGTACAGCCTTGTTAAGGCGCCCCCACCGCACTAATCACACATCCGACACCCAGCAAGCACTTTGTGCACGCACCATTCAGCTCTCACGGCAGACACTGCCGTGCCACCTACAGCAGGCGGTCTGGAACAGGGGGCTGCCCTCATCCCACCTAGCCACAGCCTCTGTTTTCTCTTGCAGGGGCTCAGCCCGTTATGACTTCTCCCACGAGATCCTTCGGGATGAGGAGTCCTTTTTTGGGGAGCATCGGGTTCCTCGGGGACGACGCATCTCAGTGATCTGCCGCTCCCTCCCTGAGGCCAGAGGGCCCAGTACGCCCAGCACCTGCTCCCAGCCAACAGAACCCCACATCCTCCCCTAGCTTCTCAGACACAAGCTTATGAATAAAGTGGAGAATGGACAAGCTGTCGCCCTTGCACTGGCTGTTTGCTGGGGCTGGGACCTGCAGGGGAACCCTAGGAACCCACCTGGTCACCCACTGCAAGCTCAGGTGCACGCCGCACACACACAGACATGAGGCTGCAAAGCTGTTTTGTTTATTGTGCTCCTTACTGGCAGCCCCAGCCCGCTTTCCTTCTCCTCCGACTCCAAGCCTCCAGCGAATAACTCAGCAGAGCTCCTCCAGCGGCTGTGGGGCCCCGGGCTGGGCGTCCTTAACCACCGCAGCCACAGGCAGCTGCCGAGAGCTGGGGCAGCCGCTGCCAGCGGTGGCGGTCATCAAGGAAGTCCACGTCAGAGTAGCGGGTGGGCCGGCAGCAGGGCCCGCCATGGGCTCGGCCCTGGCCCCGAAGCCGGGCCAGCGTCAGGCCGTGCTGGGTGCGGGCACCTCGGGGGCAGCTGCCAGCGCAGTAGCGGAAGATGACCGTCTCCTCTGAGGTGTAGCCCAGGCCCAGCTCTGCCACGGGCAGGGGCAGGCTCCACAGTTGACACGGGCCGGCTGGGGCTCGGCGTAGGCGGGCACCTGAGGGGGACAAGGGGTGGCTGACAGCAGGCAGGGTCTGGGTGGGAAGGACTCGGGCGTTCACGCAGGGTTCCAGGGGTCCTTACCCAGCTGTAGCCTCCGGGTCCCTCTGTCTGCTGCTGGCTCAGACAAGAGCTCTCCCTCTGCCACCAGGGCCCCTCGAGCCCCAGCGCCCCCGCCGAAGCCCAACTGCAGCAGCAGAAGCACCAGAGAGCCAAGCAGGACTCCTCCCGTGGCCATGGTGACAGGCAGGTCCTCAGGGTAGGGACACCCCAGGCCCTCAATTTATCCCCCTGCCTGGACTGGGGAAATAACCTCTTCACTGCCGGCTGCTGCCCGGGGATAAAAGGCCCCCACGTCCTCTGGCCCAGGCAGGCAGGTTCCTTCTGCCCCACACCCCATCCTTCTAAGAGTTAAGGGCTCACCCCCCATCCCACCCAGACATTCCACAGCCCCATTTCTGACACCCCTTCCATCCCCTGATTTACGAGAGGTGTAGCGGCAGCCAAGGCCAAGCCCAGGGCGGGTGACTGGGCTCCCCACCATACCTGCTGTCTAGAGGGAGAGGTGGGGGGCTCCTTGGGTCCCCCAGTGGGGCCCTTTCACACAAAGGCAGAGTGCTGGGGCTCAGGAGCCCATGTTGTGTGCCAGGTGGAGCAAATATGTGTTCGGGGAAGAGGTGAATTGGCAGATGGACCAGCTGACAGGGAATCCTCTATCATGGCTCCCGCCTAGAGGATTAAGGCATCATGCCCCTGTCTCCGGATCTGACTGAGCCAGCGACAAAACAGGAAAAGGGAGAGGCCCAGGGACGCCAGGGATGGAAGCTCACCCTGCAGGGACTCCCGTCTCTAGAAAGCCAAGCAGGGACCCCAGGGACCTCAGCCCCATCCTGGGTTCCCTGGATATAAAGCAGAAAAGAATGTTGAGCCCAATTAGAGGTAGCAGCACATCATGGCTTCCACACCCAGCTCCTGTGACCCCAGAAAAGTGAACCTCCTCCCCTCAGCCTTGAACGGAGGCTAGTCAGTTTGCTTACACACAACTATGACACCGGAGTAGCCTCACGGGTAGGAGTGTCTGTCAGTCAGTAGCAGTTGAGCATTTGATTTTGAAACTGCAGTCTTGTCCCCTCGACCCGGGGTAACTGCCTATGGAACCCACCCTCACAGGTGAGTGAAAACACAAGTTCAGGGCTATCGCTGCCTCTTTATTTCAGCAAAGGACCATAAGTGGCCCACCTTCCCTAAAATAAGGGAAATCCCTTTGTAGGAGACTTTTCAGTGTGATGTTTCTTATTGCACTGCTTATTGAGAGTACTTTCAGAAAGAAAAAATTCCCCTAGAATTAAGAAACGCAACTGGGATTTGAACCCAGGTCCTGCTGAATGCAAGACACCCATTAGGGACCCCTGGGATGGTGCTGGGGTTGGGGTGGGGGGCGCTTAGACTAAGGTCCATGTGGCAGGGAGAGCAGGGAAACTGCTAGGGGAAGCACTTCTTTCCTGCTGCTCCAAAGGCCTGGCGGAAGGTCAGGGAGGGAGGCTGGACAGACCTGGGACATTCCTGGGAATTAGCCTGATGTCTCAGGCATTCCTGCTCGGCAGCCAAGGGTGTGTGGAAATGGGTGGGGAAGTTTTCCACTCGAAGTTTCCAGCCACAGGCAAGACGGAAGTCTGACATCCTACCCACAACTGGATCAATCAAACAGTTCAGAAGAGAACTTGAAAAGCCCTCCCACTACAGAACTCTTAGCAATGCTGCATCATATGAGGGAAGCCCCAGGAATATCACTGGGATGCTAAAATATAGGACACCAGCAATAAGGGGACTGGAATTTTGGGTCTACATAGGGACCTCGGAGAACTAAATGGACTCAGGCCAGGGCTCCTGGTGCACCTGGCAAGGCAAAACCATCTGCAAGGACTAACCTGCAAAGCACCCAGAATTCCCAAGGATAAGGTTCCACCGCAGGCTAGGAGTCCCACACCCAAAATGATAAAAGAAAACAATCTATCACTAAAGAGAGTCAGATGACACCACAGGACACCCATGACTTCAGGTACAAGATGTGTGACTAAGGATGAAAGGCCAGATCAAAAATATATGGAGCAAGACACTGTCAAAACAGACCAACTGATGTGAAAAAGAAACAACCGCCAAAAGAAAGACAACTTCCAGATTTAGGAAACGAGTCATTGAAACTGAGCTTTGGGGCCTCCCTGGTGGCGCAGGGTTTAAAAGTCTCAGCGCTATCAAGCTATCGCCAGCCATTGCAGCACAAGTTCAATCCCCAGCCAGGGAGGTGACCCACATGGCTCAGCAGACCTCTCCTGTCTCACCTGCTGCTCCCTTCAGTGTGTTTCAGTCCGTCTGCCTGTTCTGTTCCCCACTCTGTCTCTGGGGAATCCTTTCACCCCCTCCCCCCGCACCTCTGGCCTGCACCGCAGCTCTTGTATGCATAAATAAATAAAATCTTCTAAATAAATAAACAAATCTTTAAAAAAAAAAAAAAAAAGGAAAGAAACTGAGTCTTAATGGTTTAGTAGCAGACAAGTCGGGAGAACTGGCAAAGTGGAAGCCAGGGCTGAAGAAAGGACTGAGCACGGGCGCACAGGCTCGGTGGGCGTGCTAGAGGAAGGGAGAGTGAGGAGAACAAAGTCTAAGAGGCTCCTCAGAGTTCCAGGAGGAGGGGCTGGAGGGGCTGAGAAGTAAATGGAGGTTTCTTCCTGAACCGATCATTCGGGGCCCTCGACTCAAGGAGCGGGGTGACAGATGGGCAGTGGACACACTGCAGGGAGCCTGCAGATCTCAAGAGCCGGAGGAGTTCTAGAGAACAAAGGTGGTTTATTGGGTCGGTGTGTAAGGGCCAGACCCTCACTCCTTGAGGGAGAAGTGCATCTTGTCGTTGATCATCTTGCGCTCGGGGTTGAGGCGCTTGAGGATCTGGGCCAGCACATTCACTGTCTGCTCGCTGCTTAGCCCCGTCTTCTTTGTCTGGAATTTCTTCAGCAGATCCTTGGTGGTCATGGGCTTGCGTGTCAGGTAGCGGCGCACGGCGTCCTCCGTCACCTGCACATCCCTGAGGAAGGTGAAAAGGTAGGTGTCACAGAGAGGCCTCCCTGTGGCCCTCAGCCTGCCCCTACTGTCCTCACACCAACTTACCCACTACTGGGAGTCGACTTCCCAGACTGGGGCTGAGGGGTGGACTTTCCCGACAGGCTCTGGGGCCCAGCATCCAGCCGCAACCTCTTGGCTGCTGGCGTCTCACTTGTCCGCTTCCCTGCAGGAGCAGAGGCAAAGCTGAGGCGTGGGGCTGGGAGGCTGGAACCCTGGGGCAGGTGGTACTAGGACTGTGGGCGCAAGGAGCTTGGGCCTCTGTCCCCCATCTGACCTCAGATCCCAACACTGAACAGAGAGCACAAAGGCAGAGGTCAAGAGGTCTTGGTGAAGCAGGTGGGATGCAGCCGTACCCTGCTCAAGCTTGCTGGCAGCCGCCTTGAGGGTGGAGGAGGTGTTACCACTCTCAGTGCTGGGTGTGCTGGGCCGACTGTTACCCCGAGAGCTCCCACCTGATGGCTTCCGCTCCCTCTTGGGGGGTGTCTTCTTCTTCTGCAAAGATTAGGGCTGGGGATGTAAGTCTGGAAAGACATACCCAGTTTGGCCCCCACCCCCAGGCTGGGTCTTACCGCCATGAAGAGGGCTGAGGAGGCCTCACTGTCAATGTCACTCTCCTCAGAGCTGTCCGACTCATCACTGCTGTCTGCACGGGGCCGAAGAAGGGGGTCAGTGCAAGAGAGCCCCAAGCCACCCTCAGCACCCCTTCAGTAAGGGGGCCTGGAAGGGAGGCCAGGCCAGCCCACCTTTCCGCCGCTTCTTCTCCTGGGGCGTGGGGGCCTTCTTCTCCTCCTCCTCCTCCTTGTCCTCCTCAGGCTGCTTCTCCTCCTCGCTCTCCTCGCTGCTCTCACTCTGTTCATCCACACCCTTGGGGCCCTCTTCCTGCTGCGGGACCTTGGGCTTGCCTGGCAGCTCGTCCTCAGAGCTGCTGCAGAGCGAGTGGGCAGTAGAGAGTGAGCGCGCGTGCCGGGCCGCCCCCGGCTCCCGCCTCCTCCACCGGCCTCACCTGGAGCCGTCTGACATGTAGTCCACCTCCTGGCCCTCAAAGTCCCCGTCGTCACTGTCTTCAAAGGCCTCGTCATCCGACCCCTTCTTCTTCTTCTTCTTCTTGCCTGCCTTGACCTGCGGCGCCTTCTTCTTAGTCTTGGGGGCTCGGCCTCCTGGGGAAGAGGGAGGCTTGGGCTGCCACATTACCAGCTTCATGTAATTCGAGATGTTGGGAGCCCCCACCCCCAACACCTCGCATAAGCAAGGCCCATCCCAGGGCTAGACAATTCTTAGAGAAGGCAAATCAACCGATCGGGACTCCGTGCCCCCCAACTACCCCTTCTCGAACTACTGGCCACGCCACCATTCCCTGTCCCAAATCACCCAGGGCCAGTGCAGACAACTAGATGCCACTCTTACGCTCCAGACTTCCCTGAGCTCATTCAAACAGACCAACTCTAAGCTTTTCACTCTGTCCTGTCTGGCCACAGCCAAGGCCTTCCCGTTGCTCTTTTCTGCCTCCTACCTACTCTGGTTTTTCCCCTCGTGGCCATGTGTTGCAGGAAGGTGCCAGTTTCTGGAGAACTGTGACTAACTCAACTGCTCCTTCAGTGACCTTCAGTCACCTCTCCATGCAGCCACCCGGTCACCTCTATAAACTACAACGTGGGTATAAATCAGGTGGGTGCACTGACCACCCCGGCCCCCAAGGGCTCCTCTGGGCCTTACCCTCCTCGCCACTGGCCTCGCTGTCATCGGACGACATCTCCAGGTCATCCTCCAGGTCGTGGATCCGCAGCTCGCTCGCCTTCTTGCGGCTGCGTTTCTCCTTCTCCTCGTCCTCCTCGTCCTGGTCCTGGTCCTTGAGTCGCCGCTGCTGCATGATGCTGAAGTGGTTCAGGACTTTGTTCCTCCTGCAGGCAGAGGCAGGGGGCACAATGGGGCTGACAGGGCCTGGCTGCAGGGTTTCCTCCCTGCCATCTCCTGTACGTCCTCCAGGCGGGCCCCAGAGGAAAACCACAGGCACAACTTAGGTGCCATGAGGGATGATGTGACTCATGAATGCAGCGTGAGGCACCTTGAAATCATAAGGGGAGAGCTGGCCCTTCTTCTGTTCTCTCTCCAACTGAGCTGCTCAAGGGTCTCTGTGGG